TGAAAAAAATCATGGTTTTAATGTCATTATTTAACCTTTATATAAACACCCTGATGTTTTTTTATTTGGTTTTGTTATTGTACCTTTTTGTGTTTTTATAAAAAGATAGTTCAATAGCATAAACCACCATAATCGGTGTTTTCAATTTCGTATAGGACTTGGGGGAAAAAATAAAGAAATACCAACTAATTGTCATCGAAAATTTCAACTTTTCAATTCCATTTCTTAGAAAAATTGTGCAAGTTTGAAATCTCTAAAAATTACCGTTGCTTTTTGAGAATTCTTTTTGTCAATGGTGTTTAGCATTTTCCTCCATATAACGCATGAACAAAATTTGTTTTTATATGGGAAAAAATGCTAAACACCCTTGACAAAAAAAAAATCTCAAAAAGCAACGGTAAATTTTAGAGACTTCAAACTTGCACATAATTGTACTAAAATTTAATGGGCTACAAAACTGCATACCCGAAATTTTTCTAAGAAATGGAATTGAAAAGTTGAAAATTTTGATGACAATTTTTTCGTATTTCTTCAATTTTCCCCGAGTCCTATACGAAATTAAAGAAACTGATTCTGCTGGTTTTTTCTGTTGGGTATTCATATTTTTGAAACTGACTATTTATATATTATTTCCAATGTTATTTCCAATTCTTTGCGCAGTAGACAAATATTGGGCTGAAGCAAGGGATATCACCTCACTTTCTTGGGCAGTTCAATTGTGTGACTCGGCGAAATCAATAACACTATTCACTTTGAAAAAAAGGCATATGTTGTGTAATGCACAACACACATTAACGATTTTTGCTGCCTTTTCTGGGGCGTAATGTAACTCTCTTGCTCCAAGAAGGCATCTTCACCGATTTTTTAGCACCCCATTCGTACGTTCTATAACGTTTCTGCATTGCGAGTGAACTTCGTTGAATTTCATTGCAACAGATCCTTCCTGTGGATTTCTATGCGGAGTTAAAAGCCACGGCTCTAGAGGATATCCAGCGTCTCCTATTAAAAAACAATTTTAAATAATTTTTACTTTTTAATATCGTTCAAATACTATACCAAGCAGAAAATAATTGCCCACGTCTTTTAGATATTCTTGTCCAAGGTGAGTTCGTAGCTCGCTGGTATTCCACACAAAGGAATTGTGACAAGCACCGGGGTGGGATGCGTCTATGATCACACACCTGAAAAATATTTTTTATTAGACGTAAAAAATTATAAAACGTCGATCACTTGCCAGCATGGTATTTAAGCTGTAGTTTCCCTTTCGGTTATAATATAAGTGTTTATTCTGGGAGGGAGCTATAATGCGGACGTGTGTCCCATCTATGCATCCCATATCACTTGGAATGTCATGCTTTCAGTAAAGTGCCAATGAAATTTGCGTTTTTCTTCCGCCGTTCTGCAAAAGCGGATCCATTTTGTGCAAAGATTAGTTTCAAAAATATTTATAACTCCGCCAACCACTTTGCTGAGGCTGCATTGAGCAAGAGAAACGTCGTATTCTTTCTGCAAAGAAGCGCAAAGTTGCGTCCAGTTTTATCAGCGGAGAAACAGCAAATGGCTTTTTTGCTGGCAGGGTATGCGCTGTTAGTACATCCAGCAAGTACCGAAAAGCTGCTTTGTTTACCCTATGATATTTCTGAAATCTTTAAAAACACAAATATTAATGGAAATAAGTATACTAATTTCTTTTTCTAATTACAAAGCTTGGGGCAACTCAAGCGGGTTTGTTGCATCGCGTAAGTGCCTTCTTTGTGTCACATTCTGCTCCACATCTTCGTCCATCTCTTCTGCTATCAAATGGAAGGCTATGGTGTACATTTTATCTATAGTTTAATAAGAAAAATGTAATTTAATAATAGAAATTAACAAATTGGTTTTATTACATTGTTTACGTTTCAACTGTCAAAAGAGAATTTCGGGAGAGACTCCGGGAGGAATGAACTGGCCGGGAGTATTTCGAATTCGGCTGTATATAAATGCTTAGACATTGATTATACATAAATACATGAATTTCATACCATAAGCATTAATAGGTGGCATATACAGTGCGTCTGACTTGCGAGTCGGTTTGGATGTATTTGTGAAAATAAATATGTGTAAAACTATGTTCACATATCAATATCACCTCAATCAAAGCTCGTTTTTTAATCACCCCGTTTACACAGGCAAACAGCCGGAGAAATTTCGATTTAGCCGGCAGCCGATTTGTTAGCTGCTTTGCAGAAAAAAATTAGCCGTTTTAGCCGATTTTGCTATTTGCCTTGTTTTCTTACATTTTAAGTATGTATATATGTTTCTATTTTTGACTAAGCGACCCAAAATCTATTAGAAATGGCTACTAGCCTTATCGTGGAGAAAATTTTCATGTCAGGCAGGGTTGTATGAAATTCGGCCGATTTCGCTTATTTTTATTTTAAACGAAGAAGGGATTTTCTTCATAAAATGTTTGTTACAAATGTCTTAATTTTATGTGTGAAGTTTTATTCGTAAACTTAGAAAATAATACATTGTTTCACTGTTAAGACACTTAAGATGCGCTTGTGTTTGGATATAGTGCCAACAA